TTATTATGAAATTATTGTTACCATAATTATTATCATCATCTTTTTCATTATTATTTGTTGTTAGTTCTTTCCATTATCTATTATAAAATAAATAATTAATTATCATTTAGCTTTTTCTTTTCATTTTAACTTCCTCCCTTTAATTCCTTCTTTCCCCTTTGATTCCCCTCACTTCACTACTTCCCCTATTCACTTAGTTTTCTCCATTCACCTTGCTTCCCCCTTCCATTATTTTTCTTGTTTTTTCTTAATTCCACAAGTGTTCTCACAAACCAGCGAAAGGTGAAGAGAAAAAGGCAAGAGACAAGGTAAATATAAGTTTTATTTATTTTTTAAAAAAAAGAAAAAAAAAACTCTCCACCTTTTACCATACATCCGCAAAGCTAATTTTGACGATTTCGACCTCACAAGTATTCCCACGAACTAGCGAAAGGTGAGGAGAAGAAAGGTAAAGGAAGAAGAGAAAAGGTAAAGGCAAGAGACATAAGTTTTATTTATTTTTTTTAAAAAAAAAAAGAAAAAAAAAAACTCACCTTTAACCGTACATTTGCGAAGCTAATTTCGACGATTTCAACCTTCACAAGTATTTCCACGAACCAGCGAAAGGTGAGGAGAGGAAAGGTAAAGGGAGGAGAGGAAAGGTAAAGGCAAGAGATATAAGTTTTATTTATTTTTTTTTAAAAAAAAAAAAAAAAAACTCACCTTTAACCATACATTCGTGAAGCCGATTTTGACAATTTCGATTTCCACAAGTGTTTTCACGAACCAGTGAAAGGTGAGGAGAAGAAGGCAAGAGACAAGGTAAGTATAAGTTTTATTTATTTTTTAAAAAAAAAACAAAAAAAAAAAAAAAAAACTCACCTTTAACCGTACGTCCGCGAAGCCGATTTCAACGATTTCAATTCCACAAGTATTCCCACGAACTAGCGAAAGGTGAGGAGAGGAAAGGTAAAGGGAGGAGAGGAAAGGTAAAGGCAAGAGACAAGGTAAATATAAGTTATATTTATTTTTCTTAAAAAAAAAAAAGAAAGAAAGAGAAAGATTTTTAAAAAAACTGATTATCAAGTTACGCAGGAATTACAAATTTTTATCATAATTCTATTTATTGAATTTATGATTTTTTAAAATATCGGGTACCTGAAATTCGATATTAATAACAATATCAGGTACCAGACAGAGAAATATTATTTATTATCCACAATATAAAAACTATAAATATTGGGCATCCAATATATATCTGATATTTTTGATTTTGACCTGTGTGCCCGATATATATTTAACAAATCGTGTACATGATATATATTACAAAAATCGGACACCAGAATAAATATTGGTTATATTTAATACACTTATCGGGGGCATAAAAATTTTTTAAAAAAAATTAAAAAATATATCGGGTGCCCGATTTTTATTAGGTGACCGATAGATCCCTGACATATTTATATTACACCTATCGGGAACATATCAGTTGCCTATCGGTTACCTATCAGCCATCCTGATAACTACCCAATTGGCTTCCGATATATGTCCAAAATACGGATTTCGACCTGTGCATGCCTGGAAGTTAAAATATTAACGATTTGATAAATATATCTCCATCATTATTTACTGACCCCTCTTCTCAAGTCCATCTAAAAAGCATGTTAGTGAATCTATCAGCAAATTATCTAGCAAGAAAGTGAAGAAGCAAGTATCAAAAAAAGATTCTCCTACGTTATAAAGACTAATTAAAGAATTGGGAACTGACGTTCCAGAGAAAACTATGCTGACTGAACCAATATCTGAATCGAATGAGAACTCAATCAATTTTTTAGCTTTGTACCAAAATATAATCAATGCTGAAGAAATTAGTAAAAAAATGACGCAAGAAGTCATTCGTCACTATTTCTATTTTGGAAAAGCACTCGAGGAGCGATTCGATCAATATAGAAAAAACAATCCTAAACGTACGGCTCAAGGGTTAGTTAATAATGATGTTAGAGCTCAGATTCCCAAATCAATTAGTGAAAGCTTACTTTGAAAGACAAAAGAAAGGGCCCAGAAGATTTATGATATCTTTAATGAGATTGGGATCGATAAAATCAAACAGATCCAATCTTTTACAGCTACAACAATAGCAAATATATCCCAAGATGACATTGATTTTGTATTAGCTAAACTTTCAGTAATTTATGTCGATTTTAAAAAATAGAGGCAAAGCATCATTACTCTGTAATAATAATCCATTGTATGGTCACGTGACGTTGTGACAAGCTGTCATAATCTATAAATAAAATTTAATCGTGTTAGTATAAATGTGTCTAATTTTTTATTTCGTTAATAATTGAGTGTAAATTGCATATAATGTTATGCATGTGATCGCGAAAAATGATTTATGCATTGTGTCTAGTTAAAAATTTGCACGAATTGATTATAAGTTTTTTCCCATTCTTCCATAAGATCATCAAGCCATACAGTACTTAATTCACTTTTTAGTATACCGCGACGTAATAATTCTTCACCGATTAGCCTTTCCCGATCTGTTAAAAATTTATGATATTTTCTAGGGTCTTCATTCCTTTTTATTCCTCCACGATAGAATTATATATCTTTCTTCAAATCACCACGGAAGCATCCCATACTTCACCTTTTTTTCTCAACTTCTGTAATAACTGAAAATTTCTCGGGATCTATTTCATGTTCGATGACATACTGATAAAGGCGATTTTTGTTTGGATGAGTTGGTGAACGAGGTTCTGTTTCTCGAGGTTTATTCGACACACTTTCCGGCAAACTCTGTATAGCAATTATAACTTTCTTTTGATCAATATGAAAAAGACAGTTAAGAAAATAGTGATCGTCTTTACCTAGACAGCTCCAGTCACCCCATATTCCTAAACGTGTATGTACATCTTTGTATACAGGATATTTAGCTTCTGAATCGGTATATTTAAATACATTTCGATGGCATGCATTAGAATTGGTATATGTCAAGAAAGGGAAATGTTTATGTACTGTTTTAATAATTATATCTTTCTCTTCCGGAAATTTAGAAATCTTGATGATACAGTCTCATGAAAAATAATTATCAGCATTTTCGATTTGTGAGGATTCAGAGTTTATCCAAGGATCGAGTCCAGTTTTTTTCTTATATCTTTTATATAATGTGGAGCGAATTTTATCTGTCAAAATGCTTGGTAAACTAGTTAATTTAGCATGCCACTTCAAATATTCAGGAGTTAATGTTTTATCGGTCTTGGTTTGTGTATCCATGTTGGCATTTTATGATTGTATATCTTTTTAAATTAACAATAGCTGACAAAAGTAGTTAGAATACATGTTATCATTTATACAAATGTAGGTTCCCGCCCTTTTTCTTCTCTAGTTCAGAAAAGAAAATTAGTTGACTTGTTTTGATACATATATTTTTCTGGCTTCGAGCTTGACTTTGACAAGAGAGAAGGCGGACTTATACAATGATTTCAGCATCAGCAGAGCTGGCACGGCCAATATACTGGATCATATCAATTTCAGATGCTTCACACTTAATATAGTAGGATCCAGTTTCGTAATTGCCCTCTACACCTTCCCCATCCTCATGATTTGACTTGCATATTGGGCATAATGACTCAGAATTAATTCCATAATAATCGGCACCTTCATTACTATATTCATAAAATATA